GCTAATTATCTCCAAATTGTGTCTGTCAGTTGTGTTTTGCATTTCTTAGACTCCTCTCTCCCCAGTAGAATAGCTTTTGCAGGTTTGCATTCTAAGGAACACACCAAATTCCCCAGCAAGGGAGTTCTTCATCACGTTACCTTTGTTCTCATACAGGCTCACATAACTTCATAAATACTTTGTGACAAATGGGCATTTTACGGTGAAATTTACTGCAGAGCAGACAGTGCAATAATATTTTTGTAGAAGATTCTTTATGAAACTTAATAAAAATTAGGTCAATTCCTTCAATTTCACAACTATTGAAAACTAGCAAATATTTAGATTGCTTAGCTGTTCAATTTTCAAAACATCTTGTGATATTTAAGTGGTGGAGCACATGTTAAGGCCAGTTTGTGTCATGTGGATAGAGCACCTTTGGACAGTGTTAAAGCTGCGTAGGGCCTTTTGTCACTGTTCTTGCTTTCTAGGACTGTCTGATTAGCTGATTCATTTACTGGGATTCTAGTATACAGGCAGTGAAAAAACCCACCATGTTGGCAGCAGGACCAGCAGGACTTGGTTTTCTGTGCATTTCTGTGCAGTGGTATTGGCAGCTGGGCATGACACTGAGGCTGTCATTTTAGCTGGTATTTGTATCGTTGTTTAACAGCACTACATCTCCTTTTTATAGCCAGTATTAATAGGTAATTCCATAGCTGGCTATGTGAAAATAAAAGGTGGCTGTCCATTTTTATGTGTCCTATCAGTTTGCTTGTATTTTAATTTCTCTTTTAAATATGGACAGGTACAACAAATAACCCAAACAAAATTAAATATTTTTCCTCAGGTCCATTTTTTAAAAGAGGTTATTAAAGGTAAACATTGAGTTGCTTTCCAAGCAAATACCATCCTGTTTAGGAAAATTATGATGCCTTAAACATCATAGAATTAAAATATTTTAGGAAGTTTTTAAAAATAAATGTATGGATTTTTTTAAACGCAAAGTTGGAACAAATTCCTGCTAGAGAAGATGGAATATGGTCAAAGACTTAAGACCTGTCATTACTGCTTACACTTCCAGACTAATGGAACCTGTACACATAGATATAACATTGCCTGAATCATAAGAAAATTGTACCACACAGAATGTGTGTTATGTTTATGTCTTTAATAACTCACAGAACTGTAGAACAGTTTGGGTTGAAACAGATAATCAGAGATCTTCTAGTCCAGCCCCTCTGGCATGGCCAGGGACATCCTCAGCTGAATCAGGTTGCTCAGTGAAGAAGAATGATGTCCTTTAAATTCAAGGAATTTGTGAATGACTTTTCAGCTGCTGAATGGACAAAGCTTTCAGGTGCCAACATGCCTGCAGTTGGGGGGTGACCATACTGAGGTCTGAGGCAAACAGCCTTCCAGAGAAGGATAAGCCAGCAGACTAGAAGTAATTAAACAGAGATGGAAAACTAGGAAGACATTTCAAAAGCTATCCAATTATGCTGCAAAGAGAGGAACCAAAGATGTTTTATATAAATGCTAGAAATTTAATAGATGTGGAGGAACCACAATATTGACTAAACATTAGAGGATATAATATTGGCTAAACAGATCTGTGGTTTGAACCACCATGGCCACTCTTACTCTCTGGATAGTCTATAGCTGCTTTTCCAAGTCGAAGACAGTCTGGGATATAAGTGAGATGAAATATTATCTTTAGAACTTTGTTAGAAGAGTGTAATTCATATCCAAACCCATAAACCCTGCATAAGGGAGCTGAACAGCTCTGCTAACCACAAGGATTATACAGAGACTGAGACCTGCTGTGGCTGAGCTCTGATGCACTGTCACAATGTCAGAAAGTAAATATTAATACATGCCTGATCTTAGATGCAACAGGAGTTACAAGATAAATTTCTACCACTCATGGTCATGGATTGCCATTAATCTCTGCAGGAGGCAGCAATGGAAAATGTTAATAAGAAAAACTGGGAATTATACACTGCTAAAACCTCCCTAAAACAACCCTGCAAAAGAGAAACCCTTCAGCTTTAGATTGGAAGCAAGGGGAGCTCTTCCAGGTGTGGGAGTGCAGAGAAGCCTTCAGGGACTGCCCAGAGCTGCAGCTGTGCCTCTGCCCTTAGTCAGTGAGTGTGGTTACCCTGCCTGGGAGCAGGAATCTCCACATGCACTCCTGAACTCCTGCTGGTGCCAGGTGAAGCTATTCTGGCAGACAGCCCTGGCTCTGGATACCAAAGAGAGCCATCAACCCCTCATTCTGACAGGCAGTAGCACGAATTTATACAAGTGATAATTAGTCCTCGGTTTGGCTTCTTTTCACTTTTTAGAGAAAAGAGAGCTTTCCTGCTACAGGAATGAGAGGAATGTGTGTCTGCCATAGGCAGGCTGGATTGGAATAGCTTCCCACATGGCCAAACAGAAATCCAGAGCTGTTCCAGTGAGATTTTTGGAGGATCCCTGTGGAAAATAGTCATAGGAGGAAGGCAAATAAGTGGTGAGAGGTGGGGCCAGGGTCCCTTTGTGAGTGGTGAGCAGGATGCCTAGGAATGTGTGAGATTTCCTACCTGAAAGGAGCCTTATCAAGGCAGGAGAGCAGACTCCTTGTGGGGTCACACTTCTCCCCAGAAAGCAAGGCTGGTTTCTGCAGGACCCTGGACAGCTAACACTTGGGAACAGCCTCACTAAAATCTGCTGACCATAAGACTGAAAGAGGGAAGCTTTGGTGATCTCGCTCAAACCAGCACAGAAACATGTTTGGACTTTGTCCCCACCTCCATTTAGCATTTCCACTTGACATTAGCTAGTGGCCCCCTACCAACAGTAAGATCAGGGAAGGAACAGCTAACTCCAGATCCTTCCAGAAGAATACATGCAGCTTTCCAAGCATGGCCTGGAAACCAGAGACACACTGATGTAATAACAAGGTCACTGCAGGCGAGCAGCAGCAAAGGCACACTTCCATCTGTCTAAATCTTTGAGTATGTTTGAACATAATGGTGTACTGAGGCTAAAGGACTGGAAATGTGGGATGACGTGCTTAAATGCACAACCTCTGTTTGCCCTTGTGAAGATTATGAGCCATACCTAAAAGAGCATTGCCACAGGAGCAGGTTAATTGACTTTTATTGAAACATACTGTAATATGAAGGGGGGAACTGGAGGGAAGATTCCAATTTAACACAAATACATTGCATTTGAGGCTCCCAAATAACTATTGATATCTGCTGTCCTGGAGCAAATCATATCTTCCCTGACAAGTCAGACAGCTGCTCCTTCTCTATCTTCCCTTTGTTATCTTTAATAGCCATGGATTGTTGTGGTACCTTGAAAAAAATGTTTGCAACTTACTTGATGGATGTCTCACCTCCTGCTATTAGTCTTGGTTCATGGGTTCATCTAATGCCGGTTCTTGCCTACAAAAATTAGACCAAGTGCTTTTGAAATGAGAGTGTGCTGAGTGTCACTGCACAGTGCACACCGTGTACAGCTCCTTCCCCTCCAGGTGGCAGCTGGTGGAGTGAACAAGCTCTCCTCATCACCCTGAAATAAGTTAAGTAGAAACAACCTCCACAGCTCATCTCCAGATCCAGGTTCCTGCTCAGAAGAGGGCCAACTTTAAAGTCCTATAAGACTCTTCAAGGTTATCCCAAGACCAGGGGGCACAACCTTAAACAGATTATCTCCAGGGAAAGAGATCCCACAGCTTCTTGGGGCAAATGTTTCCATGTTTGATCACAGTCGCTGCAAACAATTTTTTCCATTTAGATGTAGGGGAATATTTGTACCTTAAACACAGGATCATTGAGAGCTGTAAGATGCATCTAAAAAAAAATCTAAGCAATTTCACATAGGTTTTGAATTGAAAAGACAAAGCAAATCTCCTTCAGGCTATCAACTGTCCTCAGGTGTGTCAAAGGAAATAAAGACAAATGTGGTAGAAATGGCTGGGGATGGTGATACTGCAGCAGGATCCTCACTTTTCTCTGACAATCTTTGCTTCCCCCAAATGTCAATCAACACCATGGACTATGGAAGTTCTCGCCACATTGCTTCAGCTGAGCCGAGAAATGAGCTAGGTCTAAAAACCTTTAACAGCAAACCAAAGAGTGTATATGAGTTAAGCAAAGTTACTTGTACTTGTGATGCAAAGGAGGAGTGTGTATTGTCCATTCAGCAGCAGAGCTGTAGAAGCACAGCCTTCTGCACAGAGGAACTAAAGAGCTGGCAATTAGCAGCTTGAACAGCCATGATCCCCTGTGCAGAGTGTCGGTGGCAATTCCCTGCTCACTCTGATACCAAGGGAAACAAATGCGGCTGGAGACCCATACCTGTTTGACCAACCTGACAGGTCTCTGTTCCAAATCACCAAAGGGAATCCAATAACAACAGCCAACAACTATTTGGAATGACTTTTAAACTAGAGCATTTAAAAATCTACTTCTAGGAAACATCCTCCAGTTTAGATATCAAGGAAGTCATAAGTCACCCAGTATTAGCTATCCACGTGCTTCTACTTTCTGTGTCTCTATTTCCCTCATTAATCTGTGGTTGAGAGCTAATATAAGCTGCACATCCCTAGTTAGGTTTTACATTCCTAAATGGGAAACACAAATTCCTGGACCAGACTCTAGCACAGGCATATTTTTAGAAGGAGGGGCAAGGCTGATACATTTAGTACTGAATTTTGGCAAATACAGTAATAAACAGTATCCTCTCTATATTTCCCAGTGCTGCACACACAAGCGGTGCTGATGGAGTGTTCAGCATTGAGATTTGCCCTTCCAGCACTCAAATGGGAGAAGGGATTTATGCTCTAATGTGTATATTGTGTGCTCCTCCCAGCTCTCTTGTATTCTCTTTTCACAGATAAGACCAAAATAAAGGTGTTTTTAATTCCATCTCATTTCTGTAGCTATCAGCTGAAAAAACCCACCACAAACCTAACAGAAATTTAGCTTTTCTATCACAAAATTAACAGCCATGCTTTGTGATTGGAACAGGTCCCCAGTGGTACCCATCCCGTGTTGGCCTGCAGCTAGAACGCAGTGAGTATGAATACAGTGAGTGGCTGAATACAACCACCTAATGTACCACTAATTACTAATCCACCTAATGTATTGCTAATCCTGGCAGATTCTCCTCCTCACAGCATTGCTCTCTCTATGCATGTTATTGGGTGACCTCTTGGTACATTCTCATCAACTGACATCAATTATTAGCTTACTAGTTTTTCTCATTAATAAAGGAACCTAATGGTTTTCATAACACTGAGTGATATGTTCCAAAATACAGTGTATGATCTCGCAATGAAGACAAGCCAATTTTAAGCCCATCCACTCCCCTCCTTCCCGCACTGCATTACCTGTTTTAATATTTGCTCAATGCCTCACCAGAAGATGCAGCTGGCTGCCCGAAGCAGCCTCTGTGTCAGTCCACAAGTTCTTAGTGGATATGGCAGTAGAAAATAAAGCTGCCAGAGGCTGTGGGGTGTTTGGTCTGTGGATGTGTAGAATTGCAAAGCCATAGAAAATTAGGCTGATGGGTGCTAAATTCCATCAGCACCTGATGGAATTTAGCACCCTCACTGATGTAAACAGTCAACAAATATACATTGAAAGGGAGACCATACATAAAGAAAAGAGCAAAAACTTGTCGCAGCCATGGCAACATCCTGTGCCAGTGGCTGTTAGATTTTTCCAATAGCCAGCTCACTGCCTATATTAAAAAAAAGAAAACCAAAGCTGTTATTTCACGTGTCTGCCTGCACACTCTAGATCCATTAGGACTGAAAGCAGAGGCCTCAGAATACTTCAAACTGTAATGCTCAGATACACCTGGTCTACCTAGGTCAGAGAGCTAGCAAAAAAATCTTGTACCGTGAGCTTTTGCCCAAGAAGTTGCATTCATCATCAGGCACTGCCTGTTGTAAAATAGCCTGAGAATGGAAATGCTTCAGCACAATATGTCAGTGAGGAAAAGCCTGTGTAACACAGACTTTGCCATTAGTCTTGCAAGCTAGAACAAGAAGTGCTCTGTGGAGTTGTCTGTGTGATTGCATGGCCTGTCTCTGATGGGCCACATTAACAGAGACAGCAGCGTAAACTGTCACACATTGCTGCCCTGTGTCTCGGCAGCCTCACGCTTTTGTTAAAACGGGAAGGGAATAATTCCCATGGAATGGCTCTGAGTTGCTAACCTGGAGAATAAGTACCAAGTCACCAAAATAAATCCAAATCCAATCTGGGAACACAGCTGGACCACTAGCAGGGCAGCCTCAGCACTATGCTGAGCCCCACAGAGGGTACCTGTTGTTCATGCCATCTCCTCTTCTATTTTTGTCATTGCAGACGGGCCCTTTTTGAAGGATTCCATCAGCATCCAAAGCCTTGCTGTCTCCTCCATCATTACACTGTATTTTACAGACCTGGGTCAGCAGGTTGGTTGGACCACAGTAAGTATGTCCTTGCAGCAGTCAGCATGATACATCTTAATGGGCAATATGTTTTGGCATCAGACTGCTTCAACTTCCTCAGCCTGTGTTTCCTTATGTAAAATGGCGTAATTAGATTATCAGCACTCAAAACAGAATTAAATGGAGAGTGAGCCAAGTTATCAATATGCTAACTCTGACTTCCAATTAAAGATTAGAAGGGGAACATAAAAACATTGCCTGAGGAAAAAAAACCCAATTTAAAAAAATAGTTTTTTTTAGCTTGGGCTCATATGCCAGTGCAGAACTGTAGCCAAATACATTAATTTTCTGAAAGACTCCTCAGCTTTGAAAGTGGAAAGATATTACAAAGAAAAAATGGATCTTTAGTAATCCTGTTACTAATGCAGGAAAATAATTGGATGGAAATACCTTAATATTTGTTCAAGCAAAGAACAGTTCTGAGAGAGGCCAAGGATTCCAGGCAGAAGATATCCAGCCAGGATCAAGAGTAAAAACCTTTGAATCTCCTTGTAAAACAAAAGCATTTGCCATGATAGCTGTCTTATGCTGTATGTAGACCTGGTTTGACGTTAGTTATTTTCCTATAAGCAGAAGTTGGAAGGTCAGGGTGCTGAGAGAGAGGCAGTACATTCCACTCAAATGGGATATAGGGAACTCTAACCATACAGGCTCCTTTGGGAAAGTGAGAGGTGAAAATGTAAATTCTTTCACAGCCCAAAGACAGAAGGCAACAGAAGGGTTTGAAAGGACAGCGAAGGAATGGGAGAAGAAGAGACCTTTCCAATGTCTTGAAGCAGGCACATGTGGAGGAGCTGAGAGGAATCTCACGATCACTCTGACCAAGCTTTTGCTGTAGTTTGCATGTAGAGCACTAGCTGAAGTAACACACAGCCCACATCTGTACAATGGGTAATAAGATTCCCAATTTCTGCAGTGAGAAACATGGGTAAGACAGACCTACAGTTTCTGAAAGCCATAAAAGCTATGGTAAGACTACTCACAGCAATGGAAAGCAAACCACTGATTGCTTGCAATTCCTTTAATGAAGCAAGTGAGTTTTTTCCTAACTGGCATCATGGCTGCTGGTCAAATTATTAGATTCTTACCTCAGGCAGCCCACAGATCCCACCCTGCTCAATGGGGGGACTACAAGCCACTATCCTTCCTTGGCTGTGCCTATAAGGATGGAGCTTTTGAATATCAGATGTTTGAGCAGCTTGCAGTTCCAGTTCCTCTCTCCAAGAGGTCACTACAGGCTAGGAAGCATTCCTAAAAGTCACTTGCAATGGACATGCTACTTTACAGTTCTTAATCTGTTGAAATGTACACCCAAGGTGAAGGTTAGTGCCACAACAGTAACCCTTGACCTGGGAAAAGTCAGCCTCTAGATCAGCTCTGTAAGGTCACATACCCATCCCAGCTCCTCGAGATCACATGCATTTCTCCCTATCCTGAGCAGCAGAAATTCTGGCATCTTTTAATCCCTGTGAAGAAGAATATGACCTGTGTCCATCCTTCTCAGTTCTGAAAGGATCCAAATCCCCAGGGGGTGACCAGCAGTTTACTTCAGTAGAGCTAGAGCATTTCCCACTGTGTGACCTACCTGTTTGAATAGAGGTCTGTGAGTTTACTAAGGCTTTACCCCATCCTGATTAATGGCCTACTGGGACCAGACTAATTAATGTTAGTCCCATTTCCTTCACAAATCCATTCCACCACCTCTCAACCATGGAATTTCCTTGCAAAGCAAAATTGTGATACTGCAGCTTCCTGTTTACTACAATTAAGTAACTGCAAGAACCTTATTTATTCTCTCTTTTCCTGGTGGTTTATGTAGCCTAAGACAGTAACATAACTAAAGCTTAATATCCCTTTATAAATACTGCAGTTATGACCAGGAGTAGGTACTGCAGGCAGTGGCGTTTTTTTATGAGTTAATCTGCATGCAAAAAGTTGACTCCATGAGTTTCTGAATATTCATCTTCTCCCATTCTGCTCCATATTCCAATTTGTCTCCATTCTCAGTAGGAGAAATTTTCTTCCTAGCCACGTCATTTAAACATATAAAAGATACTTTTATATTATAGCTAGTCTGTAGCAATAGAGAAAAGTTTCACAAAAGACTGTATTCTACCAACAGCAATTAGAAATGCATTTGTACACAGGATGTGTAGTTTTACTGCCATTTTTACTGTCTTTAGATCTCCTGTGCTCCCATCTCCCTTGATGCTCTACCAGATTTATGCACACAGTGAGGGAGGCTTCTGATTTAAAGGTTTGACATTTAAATAAACAAGGCAAAGAATAAAAATATTCTTATCTCATCAGCAAAATGATAGCTAAGGTAGAAAGGGCCACATTAAGGTCTGGACTCCAAAAAGAGATACAGAAGAACATGGAGACATGTTGTTTCTCCAGAGGTCCATGCATTGGACATGGGTCTGTCTAGGGGAACACTCAGCACAGAGTTGGGTTTTGTGGGGTTCTGTCACCTCGCTGGAGACCACACTTGAGGACCAAGACCACCAGTGCTGGGGATTTACACCAAGACAACAACTTCTAGTTTTTAAAAGGGGAAAACAGAATTGACCTCCGCCTCCTGGGAGCAGCATCCTTTCCAAACATATTGTAAAATAAAACAACTCTCTGTTCCCAAACAAAGAGTTTATGTATCAGTAAGTCTGGGAAAATGAAGACTTCCCTTTTGGAGCATGGACAGCCTCAGGTTTACAACACTTGTCACACTCCACCTTGGCAGCTCAAGACTTTGTTGTCTCCTGTTGCCTACTTAGTCCCTCTGCCAGAGGCTGACACCTTGCAGGAAGGATGTTTCCCCCTCAGCTTTCCTAAAACACTGTTGCACAGTGACCAAAATATTTTTGGTGTTTTGTGCTGCAAAAGGCCAGACTTCCCCTGGGCCCACACTTCCCATAGCTCTGAGATGGGCTGACCAGTTTTCAAGAAGTTCTAGAAACTGGATTGCTCTGATGGAGGGAGGACAAACCGGGGTGAGGGATTTGTGATTCTCCTCCACTGGAACAATTATTTGTCAGTCTCTTTTGAGAAATGAGGCTCTTTTCTGGAATAAAAGTAGATATTCAACCTCAGCTGGCTCTTTTAGAGGGAAGGAGGCCCTCAAGGCTGATTTCCAGAGTATAATTCAGAGACAAAAAAGCTGTTTCTCAGTACCATCAAATTTGTTAGAACTCTTGCTCTACTCTCCCTTCTTTTATATAAAACAAATATTACCTGAAACACATAATTTACTTCTGCACAAGACTTACCAATTTCTTTACCCTGCCTGGCGGGCATAGTTGAGGTTTGCTGACTGATGCTGCAGAGATACTAATGGGAGCTGAGTTTATAGATTTGTTCTATATGGCCCTGTAAAGATTTTACCCCCAGGAATGTTCAAAATTCCCACCACTGGAGTGATGGCTTTTATTTTTAATCTCTATGTAATTTTGGGCCTAAGCATGTTTGACAGACACCACTTTTTACATAATTGCAATGTGGCATGGTGACTTTTTGAAACATGGTTGGTATTTTAACTGCTAAGAATACACACTGCTGCTGTAGTGAAAATAAGAAAAAACAGAAAAAAACCATCAATTTTTCTGGCTAAAATTCACACTGCTGCTAAATCTTCCCTTATATGAGCAAAGATTGCAATTTCTGATTTATCAGCTTCTGTTGTCCTGTTGCTACATGGGCCAGCTACCAAAAGGATCCAAATAGAACTGAGAAAACAGCATAGAACTGAAAAAAAAAATTTACAACCAAGCCTATGAATTTCAGAAGAATAACCCTGAAACACAGTACTTCAGTAAATATTTTTTGTTACTGTGATTTAAAATTAGGGATTGCTTAAGTGCTTTGACTCCTGAGGGTCTTAAAATAGTAAAGCTGGCAGCAGAACCACTCCACTTCAAATTTTCCAATGAAAGATTCTGCTCAATTTAGAAATGTGGAGACGAATACTTCTTTAAACCTAGGAGCATCTTTGAAGTCTGAAAATCCACATTCCTCACTAATTGATCTGTTCTTTCCCGTCTGGCAAGCAAATTTATCACCAAGTTAGACATTGTGGGAAATGAACAAGAAGCCAGGAAGGGATCTGTGTTTGAAGCTCTGTGGTTATGCACAGCAGGTGTAGGCAGTGGGGAAGAGCAATGAGGAGGTGCTGCTGTTCTTCCAAGGGGAAAGCAGTGTTTGGTCAGTGTAGTTCTTTCCCTCTCGCATCAAAGTTTTCAGTCCTGTTGATGAACAGGGGAGCAGCATTTTGCTCTGACTGTCAGGCACAGCTCAATCCATTGGTCCTGTAAATCTGGAGCAATCCCAGGATGTCTATGGGATGATCGTGATAGGAAGCAATTTGCATATTGATGGGTTTGGAAAAAAAAAACAGCCAAAATGCTGCAGACTCATTTTCTCCACCTTCTCTACACTGAGGTTAGACTTGGACTCCCCATGTGGAACAACTTAAGATATTTTCCCTAATTTGGGAACAGAAGAAGAGACTTCAGTAAAGGTTTATAACCTCTCAATGGGATGTAAAAGTACAGACAATTACAACAGAAGGAAAAAGAGAGGATCTGAAGAGTTTGAAGAAGTGTGAGGACTGGGAATCCCAGCAAACTGATGAAACAGTGTAAAGATGGTAAGAGTTAGAAAACTCATATTATCATAGCTTAGGGGGAGAGCTGAGGATATGTTTGATGTAGAGGAAAATGTCACTGAATATGGTTCTCAGCAGATACATATCAGGGTTTCCATATTTTGTGGTCAATTCAGACAGAATTAGTCATGGGACTAGGACCCTACAAATTGAGTAACACACTCAGGGAACTGTGGATACCTGGGAAACTTCGCAGAAGTACCAAATAAACAAAAAGGTTGATTCTGTGTGAATCTGTGTGTGGCCTAAAAACAGCTGCAAAAAAGTGCCAAAGACAGAAAAATTGTCAAATGGTTTTTCATTGCTAAGCCTCTTGAAT